AGCATTTATTCCTTCCCTAATCAATTACATGCAGAAATAGTATAAATTCCTGTAATTTCAGTCTTTTGCGTAAAATTCTCAGTTCGTTTTCGTTTGGTCAGTCGATTTCTGAATACTCTACCAAAATGCATGCTCGTAAATGTCAGTGTAAAAAGATATTTCCCATTGTTAAGACACTAGAGGAGGCGACAAATACCTCGTTCATCAGTGAAAGGAATTCTTCGCCGATTTTGCCAGTCGAAAAGGACTTATCAGAGCAAGAGCTCAAGTCGTATCACACGGCAGACTCTGATGACGATGATGCTACACCCGCGACTAAGCATGATGAGCATGCCACAAAAAAGGGACGCGTATTCGGGGTCTCCGGCCCGGTGGTCAACGCCGAGCAGATGGCCGGCTCGGCCATGTACGAGCTGGTCCGCGTGGGCCACTATCGCCTGGTGGGCGAGATCATTCGACTGGAGGGCGACATGGCCACCATACAGGTGTACGAGGATACCTCGGGCGTCAGCGTCGGCGATCCCGTCTATCAGACCGGCAAGCCGCTCTCTGTCGAGCTGGGCCCCGGCATAATGGGCGCGATATTCGATGGCATTCAGCGGCCGCTGCGCGACATCAGCGAGCTGATGCAATCCATTTATGTGCCAAAAGGGGTCGATGTCAACTGCCTCTCGCGCTCCGCTGAATTCGAGTTCATTCCGTCGAGCAATATACGCATTGGCGAGCCGATCGTTAGCGGCGACATCTACGGCACCGTCCAGGAGAACAGCATGGTGGAGCACCGCTTGATGATCTCACCACGCCAACTGGGCAATGTCACCTACATCGCTCCCGCTGGCAACTATAATATCGAGGAGACGGTCATCGAGACGGAGTTCGATGGCCAGAAGACCGAGCACTCGATGCTCCAGGTGTGGCCAGTGCGCAACAGTCGGCCGGTCATCGAGAAGCTGCCGGGCAACCATCCCCTGCTGACTGGCCAGCGTGTCCTCGACGCCTTCTTCCCCTGCGTCCAGGGCGGCACCACAGCCATACCGGGCGCCTTTGGCTGCGGCAAGACTGTCATCTCACAGGTAGGTGCAGAGATTATCCAGCCAATGGAATCATTGCCCTCACACAGCATTCAATGACAGGCTCTGTCCAAGTACTCCAACTCCGATGTCATCATCTATGTTGGCTGCGGCGAGCGCGGCAATGAAATGTCCGAGGTGCTGCGAGACTTTCCCGAGCTCAAGATCGAAGTGAATGGTGTCAACGAATCCATAATGAAGCGCACAGCCCTGGTGGCCAACACCTCCAACATGCCCGTGGCCGCCCGCGAAGCGTCCATTTACACTGGCATCACTATATCCGAGTACTTCCGTGACATGGGCTACAATGTGGCCATGATGGCCGACTCCACCTCCCGTTGGGCCGAGGCGCTGCGTGAGATCTCTGGTCGCCTGGCTGAGATGCCTGCCGATGCGGGCTACCCCGCCTATTTGGGCGCACGTTTGGCCTCCTTCTACGAGCGAGCGGGCCGCGCCACGTGCCTGGGCAGTCCGGAGCGTGAGGGTTCCGTGTCCATAGTGGGCGCTGTCTCCCCTCCTGGTGGTGACTTCTCCGATCCCGTTACCTCGGCAACATTGAGCATTGTGCAGGTGTTCTGGGGCCTCGACAAGAAGCTGGCCCAGCGCAAGCACTTCCCCTCCGTCAATTGGCTGCAGTCGTATTCGAAGTACACGCGAGCGCTCGACCACTACTATGAGGAGCAGAGTCCGGAGTTTGTGGAATTGCGCGACACGGCCAAGCAAATACTGCAGGAGGAGGACGACCTGTCCGAAATCGTGCAGCTGGTGGGCAAAACATCGCTGAACGAGTCCGACAAGATAACGCTGGAGGTGGCCAAGATGCTGAAGGACGACTTCCTGCAGCAGAACTCGTACAGCCCGTACGACTGCTACTGCCCCTTCTACAAGACGGTGGGCATGCTCAAGAATATGATCACCTTCTACCATCAGGCCATCCAGGTGGTCAAGAATACGGCCGGACAAGAGAAACATGTCACCTGGGGTCACATACGGGAGCAGTGCAGCGACTTGCTCTACGAGCTGGGCACCATGAAGTTCATAGATCCCAAGGAAGGCCAGCAAGCTGTCGAGCAGCAGATGGAGAAGATCTATGAGAACACCATCAAGACTTTGCAAGATTTGGAGTCCAATGTGGCGTCGCTCGACTAGTGTTAATTCCCAAAATTGAATAACATGAATAGAGGAAGGAATTCTTTTAAGGCAATGGAATTTATTATGTATGTATTTTATGAATTAAATTGAAAAATGAATTTCGTATGTGATTAACTAAGAGGAAACATTATATTATATTATTATATTATATCTTTTATTGCAAATATTATATTACAATTTGTAATATATGAATAATATACGATATAATATTCACATAACTTCACCTACACCAAGTTTATTTTTTTCATATTTCTTTTTAAATATATTTATATTTTTAGTATTTATAGAGTACACTTAACATCCAGAGAGCTAACGGTTTATACAATTTTCACTTGGCGCGCCGCAAAACATTCGCCAAACTCCACTTTAGCTAATTTCAGCTTAAACCACACTTTGGCTTTTTGCTTCCTGTATTTGTTGTTTTTTCTCTCGCTTTTCTGCTTTCTTCTTCTTTCTGGCGCATAAAAGTCAGCCTCAGAGTCGGAATCAGAGTTAATCCTTTTACCCGTTTGCCATGTTCCTGTTTGGCGTTTTTGCTGGAAATGCTCGATAATTTGCGCAACGGCATCCAAATGTCGACAAAATTCGTTGATTTATACGAAAAGTTTATTAATGCGCTGCAAGAGCGAACGATGGCAGCTATGCGCGCCACGCCACGCCACGCCTACCCTCCACTGCCGCCCTCTGTCAGTCACCCAAAAAGTCAGCACACAAAAATTGCAAAGAGAGATCGATTTCGATTCAATTAGTGAAAATTAAATGTAAGTATATATATATGTATATGTGTGCGCTCACGTATATGCAACTGCATGTGGGTGTGTGTGTGTGTGTGCTTGCACGTTTGACTTTGCCGATAAGCGCCCTCTGGTGCTGAATGGAGGCGTGGGTATGGGGCGCTGGGCGGTTAGGCGTGGCAGGCATTGCGATGATTACATTTCCGCATTCGACGCTCGGCACCGCAGCCAAGTAACCAAGTCAGCCATAAAATGAGCGCAGCAGAGAGCTGAAGAAGATGAAGAGAGTGAGACAGAGAGAGAGAGAGAAAAAACGTCGAAGCAAGCCAAAAATCAGTTCAATTGCAAATTGAAAATCCCCTTACAACTTCCGTTTCCGCTAGGCGAGCACTGAGAGCGGGCGAGCGACAGAGTGAGAGAGTGAGAGAGAGCCTGCCAGCATGCATGTGTGTGTGTGTGTGTGTGTGTGGGAGACGAGCCGCTCGGCTGCCATGACAAACGTGGCGTATGAGCAATGCTCACTAATTGGCCGCCGTTCGTTGCCACAGTCTGTGGCACACTAGTCCGCCTCCCGCCAAGCAACGAGTGAGTCCGCTGCTCCTCTTTGCCTGCCCCCATCTTCTTCTTCTTCTACGTCGTAGTCGTCGTCGTCGTTGCCATTTCGAGTTTAAGCTGCACGCTTGAGTTGAGCCTTAATGGACGCAGCTGCAGCATAGAGCTGGACGCGTGACACGAATCACGCACGGCCTTAAACAATATATTTGAAAATGCGAAATTAAAAGTTTCTTTGTCGACCAAACTGTATAAAGGAAAGTAATAAAAATAAATATTTTTATTTAAAATAATTTTTAAGAAATATTATTATACTAAAAGTGAAAAATATATATTTTTTTTGTTTTTTTTTTCTTTTTTCAAATTAAGTAATATTTAATAAAATTATTGAACATTTTTTGTATATTTTAATTATTTATTTTTTTAATATAGTTTTTAATAATATACAAAATATTTCTCGTAAATAAAAAATATGTATTATATAAATATTTAAGCAAACAAAGAAATTATTAGGATTTATCCCAAGCAAATTCAACACGCGCTCAACTCCAGCTGGGAGGCTGCGTCACTCGGCTGCTGGAACGTTATTGCATAATTTGAAGGGGTTAAGCCATTGAGCTTTAATGCAAAATTTCAATTGAACGTCAAACAGTCAATTCGCTTTAGCGTCGATAATCGTAAAAGGATAATGGCGCTAAAAGCGCATAAAAAGGCGCCGAGCCAGCTTCAGACATTGCCGTCCCAAGGACCTGATGCGCACCCTAGTGCTGCATTTGTATGTGTGAGTGTGTGCAAATGGCTATGTGTGTGTGTGTGTGTGTGTGTGTGTGTGTGTGCACTCAATTAAGGGATTTTTCGGGCGCAGGCTAACGGCCGTTGATGCTAGCTGTTAGATAAACCTAAAGCTGGGCAAGCCCCCGGCAATTTCCTTACACACACACACACACACCCACACAAGCGAATAGCAAAGCCAAAAATAGGGAAAAATAAGTAAAGAAATTACATCATAATATGAAAAAGTAAACAAACCAAATCAAAAGCAAGTTGAATGCTTTAGTCTAGCTGATGTCTGCTGAGTGGAGGATCCACATGATATGTGATTTTAATTTTAAATTTATTGACTAAGCAATTAGAGCGTAAGACTGCGACTAGAGGGAAATGTAGAACGAAGATATCTAAGAGAGAGCAGAGAGAGAAGTTAACAGAAATAAGCAGCAGAGTGAAACAGTCTAGTAAGCAGTGAGATAACATAGTACTGTTAACCTTATGTAAGTTACCATAATTATGTTGACTGCTATCTATGTATTTCAATAACTAAGTATATTTAATTCTAATAAGCCTAGTAATTGTCTTAAATGTATGCTAACTTAAAATCTCATGTGCTAGCAGTAAAAACCAAAGGCAAATTTAATAAAAATTACTAGAAATTCTTATACAGCTCTATTCACGTCAAATAAATAAAAAAAGTTAAACAAACTGCGGTTCAAATACAATCAAAACGCTTTCATAAACACACGCGCAAAGTACTTTACTCTTTTCCTATGTAAACTTGGGCTTTTTATATACCCGCACATATACACACACACACACACATACACATGCACATGCACATAAAAGATATAATCTAGATAAAAAAAACGACAATAACTATTACCGTTATTCATAGTTTACGCATGATATAAATGAAATGTTTTATACTGCCTGCCCTGAACGATTCGCTCTTTGGCTTCAGCTAGCCGCTGTTGTTGTTGTTGTTGTTGTTGTTGTCGTCAAATGGCCAAAAAGGAGAATATCATAAGCAGATGCCAAGTCCTTTAACTGGGGTGTTAGCGTCTTTAGCGACTGGGTTTTTGGTGAAGGCAACTTAATTTGCAACTTATACGCAAAATCCTTTTGATTCTGTTATTTTTTGAAACTGGCGAGAGACCCATGTGATGTTTGTTGTTGTTGTTGTTGTTGTTGTTGTTGTTGTTGTGCCTGCTGCCTTTGCTTTTGTTATGCTTGATGACGATATGTCCTTTTGCGCAGATTTACAACGCCTGCAGTTATTTGCCAAAGTTAAGCGAACCTTTTTTGTTTTTGTTTTTGTTTTTTTGTGTGTTTCTTTTTTTCTTGTCGGTGTTCTTTCTCGTTTTGTTTTGGGCTTTGCTTTGGCCGCTTAGTTCTGCATGCCAAAAGGGTCCTGTCGCTCATTGTCCTTTTTGGCCGTTGCTGTTGCTGCTGCTGCTGCGACTGTTGTTGCTGTTGTTGTTTGATATGCTTCTGATTAAGGGAATTTAAATTAAGCCTATGCAAATGCGCCGCTGGCGGTTTTTCAGCTGCTGTCCTTTGGTATTGTTGTTGCAGCGCGTGTATCCTATTTCGAGTACTTGCCACACACACACTCACACCTTCCCCCCTTCCTTCTTCTTCCCTGCTGCTGTTGCATTGCCCAAAAACTTGCCACGCCCCCTCCATACATGCCATGCAAAAGTTTAACCATAAAGAATTTGCCAACTGGCAGCTCGCAGCAGCCGTAGACAATTGGCCTATCGCTCCTTCATTCACTGAAGTTCTCGCTGACAAAGTCCTTGCCACGTAGATAATGAAATTGTTGTGCGAAGCGCATAAAAAAAATCACAAAAAAAAAGAAAAAAAGAAAAGAAAAGCCGCAACAACAACAACAGCCACGTAGCGGAAGAGCGGAAAGTTTCGCTCTGTTCATCAGGCAAGGCAAACATTTTAAATACAAAAGGATATGCGTGGGCAGACGGCATATCCTCCACCCAGCGTTGCCACGGCTCGCTCGATCCTTGGTCTACGCCAGCCGCAGTGACATTGACGAAATGCTTGAAATTTACTGCGTTCCATTTTCGCTTCACCCAGGACAAAGGGAGACTCCTGGCCCATGCTTCACGTTTTTTCTTAAATTTTTAACATCCTTAAGGAGAGTATAATGACTTTTTTATGAAGTATGTGGCGGTGTGACGGCTGTAATTTTAATCTCTGATCGATTTAAGTGCACTTAAAAGATTTCCAGTGAAAATATAAATTTAAAGTGTGTAATATTTTGTTGAATATAAAAAATCCTTATCAATATTAGCTGAAAATATTCACAGAATGAAGTAAGTTTTAATGCATAGTACAGCTCGTCTATTAAATTAATTTATGGTTCTTGTATGATATGACGAACATTCTATATTTTACTTTTAAGAAAGCTCCACATATATTTTCTTTTTTAAAAGAATTACAGACTGACTAATTCAAATATAAAAATTCGTATATGAATATTGACCAACTTAGGTTTTCAATAGACTTTAGGCAAATCAAAGTTTGTCCCTTCGCCCAATCTATTTATAATGATATGCTCTTCTTATGGAAAAGGGCTATCAATGCAATAATATAATAATACTGTTTTTCTTTTTGGTTAACTATTAGTACTTCTCTATCATATATCTAGCCATTATATTATACAACTCCTTCATATGGTTCTATAATATTCTAACCGAATAGTTCACATATATTTTTTATTTCTCCACCATCATATAAGTGTCATATGATCCCTTATACTAAAACTACTATTCATTTCTTATATGACTAACACTTCTGCTATGGCTATACTCCCATATTACAATTATTTGCTTATCCACTACTTCTATTATATTATAAAGATCCTTTGTTGTGTTTCTTTTTATATCTCCACTCCATATGTACATATACTACTATATCATTTAGCTACTATACAATAGGATTCTGTATGTTGTCATATATAATCTCATCTTGCTCATATAGTTATTAAATACAATATAACTACTATTATCATCAGCTAATCTCTTTCTTTCCAATACTCTATTACTATGTAGTTACTACTTACTCTTAAATATTATAAATTTGATTTTTCTCTAAGCTCTCCGTCTGCTCCACTCAGAATGCCCATAAAGTGCAGAGATCTCACAAAACTCTTTGAAGTTCTATTTTTGGCGATTCCCTAGTGTATTCGAGCTTCATTGTGTCGCTTGTTGTAGTATTTTTACTTTGTGGTTTGCTGCCTCCTCCCACATTATTGTGTTTACTTATCCCAGTCGAAAAATTGCCGAAACTTGGGGCTCGGATTTTGCTGGGTGGCAGTGGCAACTCGAAGCGGCGGCAGCAGCAGCAGCAGCAGCCATTGCATTTAGTCAAAAGTGATTGAAAAGGCATTTTGTTATAATGCCAACTTAATGACAACGAAATTACAGCAAAAGCCACGCCACGCCAGCCAGTATCAGCAGCAACAACAACAACAACAACAACAACAATGGCGACCCACGCGACTTGCCAGCTAAATGAGTTTGAAATACTTTGAGACAAGCAAAAGTTGTTTCGAGAACGCACATCAACACAATATATAAGAGCAAATACATACATAAATGACATATTTATACATAGCGAGTATATACATATATATGTACTTGCTGTATATAAACATATGCAAATGCGCAAAGAAAAATTTCAATTCATGCTAGCTATTTTTAATGTATAAGTAACCTACTTTGAAATACGCCCACAGGCGACTTAATTGCCAAGAGCAGAGGAGAGAAACTTGTGAGAAGCAGATACAATTCGTTAAGATAGCAATTAGCAAAAAAAATATATATATATACATATATATGTATATGTATATATATATGTCATTTAAATTTGAAAACATTTCGTAAGACATCAAGTTAAATTTAGTTGTATAGAGGGAGAGGAGCATCAAGAAAAAATGTACAAAAAATTCATATGATAAAGTAGGGGAAATGTACAATAAGTAGGCGTGGATGAGAGAAGAGAGAAAGTTCCGAAAGACATGTTTCTACTACGAAAGAAAGAATCTCATGATAAGCACGAGCAAATTATATCCGAGAGGAAGTTGTAAGAAACATAAGCAAATCACAGAAGGAAGAAACTTATGTCAAACTAGTTACAGCAGAGAGAAACTTATGATAATCTGGCACAAAAGAGAGAAACTTTAGTATGATATGCTTCTATTACTTAAGAGAGAATCTTATGATAAGCTTAAACTAATTATATCAGCGAGAAACTTCTATTAAAACTAAGAAAATCGCAGGACAAAGGACAACATTTAACATTAGCTTGTTAGAGTTGAGAGCAACGTAAACGATTGACTAACGGAAGTAAGGAGGAAAAGAAACTTTTGATAGACTAGCTCAAATTATAAAACAGAGAAACGTAGAAAAAGTCAGTGGCCAATGCAAATTATATGTAAGCTCTCACATATTATATACATACATACATATTATTAATGTAAGCTAGGAATGAGAAAGAAAGTCAATATAAACATCTACTTGTAATTAGTTTTGATTATCTGACTGAATTGCTGTAAAACTTTTATCTCGATTAGGAATGGCACCAAAATCGAACTGCGAGCTAATCGTTTATCTAGCAGCTCATTTGCACTCTCCAAAGACGCCAACGAGCAAAGTTTGAATCGGAAAGAAGAGTTGGGTAGTAAAATAGATGAAATATTGAAATGCTAAACTCCATTTAAAATTAAAATAGAACAATGAAAGTTCAAAGTGAATGAATGCACACAATAAATGAAATGGTCTAGGAATTGTTTCAGCTTAAGACTTTAGCTTTTCAAATCACATTCGCTTGGTTAGCTAAGCTCATATATGTATATAGATATCTTAAATTCCTTGCAGACACCCAGTTAATAGATATATCTGAGACTAAGCGATGCACTCATGCACTCAACTGCTCTGTTATGGAGCCAACTCGGCTTGCCGACAGATTTTGCATTTCAAGTCCAATAAAACGGCCTATGTGTCCTGCAAAATTGTTTCAATTATTTACATTAAATAAAAATGCAGCAGAGTATTTCGATGCACAAAAAAGAAAGAAAGGCAGAGCCGTGCAACGCCGGGCGGAGGGAGCGGTGGCAAGTGCGCTCTGTGCACGTAGCCGAAAAGTATGCTATTGAAATATTTATGCATCGCTCGTTCACTCGTTTGCTTTGTTTGCCTCGCACAGTTGCGAGCGTATGCAGTGTGTGTGTGTGTGTGTGTGTGTGTGTTTGAGTGTGTGCGGCTGATTAAGCATTTGACATACATATTTCCTAGCAGCGCCTGCGAGTTCAAAGCGTATTAGACATGCAAAAACAACTCGTGCCAACACCAGCTCGCTCCCTTTCTCTCTCTCTCTGTCTCTGTCTCGCTTTGGCAATGTCTGCTCGTTGTCTGTGTCGCATTTTCCTATTAGCAGCCAGTCGAGCAACAATTCGCAACAAAATATGCAAATGCAGCCAAGCGTATGAGCTATAGACCCAAACTCTGCTCTCCCTCTCTCTTTATCTATCTCTCTCTCACACACACTCACAGAGAGCGTGTGTCAGCTCTCTTTCCATTTGCCGCATTGTTTTTCTGTCTGTTTGTTGTTGCCGCCTGAATGATTCGTAGCTGAGCATTTGCCAGCCAAATTTGCAGCACGTGCTTAAAAGTTTTTTTTCTCCCTTTTTTTTTTTTTTTTTGGTTTTTTAGACTAAACTCGTTTCACCCTTATCCTTGGCTTCATCCTTATCTCGCCTGGCTCAGTCCGGCCAACTAACTTTCAGCATCCAAGTGAATGTCCAAGTGTGTGCCAAGTTTTTGCACCCATTCCACTCAACTAACAAGAGAAATGTTATGTTGTCTTTTAATTGAATTCTGGAGACCGCATAACTGAAATCGCAAAGCCAGCCAAATCTTGACCAAAACTCAGATCCAGACCGCAGACAATCGCCATTTGCCATTTGCCATTCGACAGCCAATAAAAATGTTGTAAAAATCGCCGAAATGTAATTTGAACGAGTTTCCAACCATTCGTTGCTGACTAGCCAAAACTTAAATACTCTATAATTTTGTATTGCGTTAATAGAGTCTAAGAAGTCAATAGCTAGGACTTTTCTAATAGAAAAACTTCTAAAGTTGATAATTATTGCCTAGAGTTTAAATTCATTGAAGACATTAAATACTTAGATCTCTAAGGAATAAATACATTCCTTTATTACTCCCTAGAGCTTCTAATCGAATAATCAATAGATCATATAACTATGTATAGGTATATTTATATACCAAAACAGCTATAGCTCTACTATAACGCAGCTAATAACTACCGAAATATAAAATAATTCCGATTAAATCTGAAAACATTTCCAAAAATATTATTAAATGCTTAAAAGAAGTATTGAAATTTGTAAAAAAATTTTAGTATTAATAAATATAACAAAAATTAAAAGAAAAGTGCCCAATTTAAGTAAATATGTCAAAAGTTTTTATATAGATAATAATAGATGGAAACGGATTTGCTTAACTTAAATATTTATATTCATCTAGATATTTTCCAGCCACGTTCCGCCTGTAGGGGTAATTACATATACATATTTATGGATAGAACTCATTAAGCTCAAGGTATATGAATATTCAATTAATAACTGCAAACTCTGGCAAACAGATTCGCACATGAATGAAAGGCCAGCGTATAGAAGGAGCCTTAAGCGGATTAGGCTAGATGCGTCTATAGCCTAGAGTCCACTGCCCGCTGCCCACTGTCCGCTGTCCGTTGTTCTTTGTGTGTTGCAAGCCGCATGAGAAAGTTATCATGCTCTATAGAGAGACACAGAGAGTGGGCAACTAGTAGTTTGTGAGTGAGCAGGAGCAGGAGATTACAAGCGATTGCCAGCTGGCGATAAGAGGGCAGAGGGCTGAAGTCAGGTCGCCAGCGCAGGTTGGTGCGTTGAGCAAGGAATCCGTAACCCGCATTCAGCTTCAGCTTCAGCTTCGATAGAAGCACAAGCAACAACAACAGCAACAGCTACAGCTCCAACTAGAGCAACATGCCCCTTGCCCAATTAGTTAGCGCATTAAACTGGGGATCTCTGCAGCGGGCCAAGGAATTTATTGTGTTAGCCGGCCGAGTTGTGTTAGTGTTAGACGCTTATCGCTGCAGCCAGGCACAGGATTCGAGTCGACTCGGCGAGTCCGTAATTGACTTGTTGCCAAGTAATCGTTGCCTGTTAACTGCTGTTGTCAGGGGATTATCTACAGTTCAGTTGAAATCGACTTGCTTCCCTCACAGCATCTGCTGCTGGTCGGGCTATCAGAGAGCTATCAGTGCGCCGCACACGCTGAAGTCGATGCCGACGTCGGCCGGAGCCGGCAGACCAAGTTCAATGAAGTGCATGAAAAGTGAAAAACAATAAACATGCTTAGCACACATTTTTCCTCCTGCTGGGCCTTCAATTCAAGAGCTTTGTTTTTGCTATCCCAAGTCAGTTGCTTGTCGCTGCGTTGGCTGCGTCGACTGCGTCTCTTAAGCAGCCGTAGCTGACTAATTGGTTTCTGCATGGCCCAAGTAACGTTACAGCCAATTCACCTGGCCTGGCCCCCAAGTGCTACCTGCTACCAAATGCTGCTCCTACCCACCCGCCTAGCCTCTCGCCTCTCGCCTCTCTCTCTCTCTCTCTCGCATACGCTTATTGCTGTGGCTTTGGCTCGGCGCCCGGAAGCATGCAATAAGCGGTGTCCGCAGCAATCAACGTGCTGTCCACGCCCCCTCGCACACACCCTACCCTGCCTCCATCCCGCTTGCTCTACGCTTTGCCCCTCGTGGGCTGCCCATTTTGAAGCATAGCCATAAATGTTACATTTGGCTTTTAGCGAACGTCGGATGCATGTGGGTAACGGGGTGCTTGGGTGGCTGGCTGGCTACCTGTTTTTGGGTTGCCTTGGATGAGGTGAACCGAACAATTTGGTTTGGCTTTTCTAAAAGTCAACGCCGTGGGGATTACGCAGCCGACTTATGGCAAGCCGTGTGCCTCGCCCACCTCGCCAACCGCACTCAACCACCCACCCACCCCCACACACACACACACATACGTGGGCGAGCAAATGCAAGCGTGTTCTTCTACACCCTGTAACCAAAAATAATAATCATTAGGAAAAGTATGGCAAAGCTGTGAAAATGCCAAAGGCCAAAGTATTGTTGGGCAATGGTATCATGCTTTTGTGGATGGCATAATAAAAGCTTTCAATAAATACTTAAGAATTCACCTCTTTTTGTTTAACACGTTTTATCTATGCTTAGCATTTGGGTATATACAAATTTAACTACTAATGGAATAAATATAATGTTTATAGTATATATAGTTAATGTTTACATTATAAAGTAACTCAAACATATTTTTAACCAGTAGGTAAACCATTTAGTCAGCTCGCTATTTCTGCTCGAATTACTAAAAAATAATTAAACTTATTTATAGTTACTATCTGTTAACGTTATTCAAATAGTTAGGCTTCCAGCTTGCTAAGATATAAGAAATCCTCTTATCAAACTATTATTCACACAGCCCTGTATTTGTTTATTTTACATTTACATATGTAAATCCTTACTCAACACATCTTAAAATCACATATACGTAGCCTTAAAGACGCCTATATTTGATTTCAATTAACAGCCAACTGAATGAGTCTGTACTTTCGCCTTTGAAACTGTTGTGGTTTGGTTAGTTTGTAGTTAAAATACACCTTGACACAGACACACACACCCGCACACACACACACACATATAGAGTGTGGCATGCTGACAGCCTTTAGCATAGTCAATGCGCTTTTAAGCGCGCTAATTAAAAATGTGGCAACTGCACACGATGTGCCTTTGGTTTGCCTTGCAAGATGAAAGAACGCTGCCAGACTAACCAACACGTCCTCTCACACCGACATCATCTCTCTCACTTTCACACTCTCTGTTACTCTCTGCTGTCGCCTCCCACTCATTGCATGCCATTTATCCATAATAGCGTTGCCATCACGTTTTCTATTGCGCTGCGTTGAGGCAGCGTAATTAACGCCATCACTTTTGGCATTGGCTGCAACTTAGACGCAGCTGGCAAGGCCCTAACGGATTCCACTTCTCGCCTCCCGCTCTAACGCTCACGCTCACGCTCTCTGTGTCTCGCACACTCTTTTACTTACGCTTGGTGGCTTTGTCGTTGACTGTGCTTGAGTTGTTGAGCTTTTTTCTTTTTCCTTTTTTTTTTGTTATTCGCTTTACTTATATTTAGACTTATACTTGCCTCTGCTTCTTATCTTTTTTGCATTCTCTTTCTTATATTGCATATTTATTAAAATGCAGCTCTAGGAGAAGCTGCTGCGTCAAGAGCTAAAATGTAATAACTCTTGTTGTGGCCACGCCCAATCCGTTGATGCTACGCTTTGTGTTGCTTCCGCCCTCGCCTCTTCCCCTCTTCGGCTCATCTCATCTCCTCTCTGGCTCTGCTGGCTGCGCATTTGTTAAGCTGCTTTTGAACGCAGGTGTTGCTATTGTTGGCTTAACGCTTCAGAATGAACGTTCCGGCGCGCGCGCTATTGTGGCGCAGGTTCTTTTTTTTTTTTTTTTTTTGTAGTCAAGGATATCCAGCGAGCGAGCAAGTCCGAGCTGCTTATTAATTCAAAATTGAGCGCAGCTAATAAGCTTAAAGCAAAGCAAGCCGCCCCACTTATACAGCGCCCAAAAACCCAATCCCCCCACCTGATGGATGTGCTAATTGTGCGCTAATTCTAATTATCAGCAACACATTCGAGAGGTGAGCTTTGCGCGCTGCTGCTGCTGCTGCTGCTGCTGCTGCCGTTGTTGCTGCCGTCGCTGCAGCGGATGCTAACGAGTGTTTATTAATGGCGCTAATGGCGAGCTGCGCCTTTGATGAACGCCGCTTAAGCACACTCCAATTCTGGTCATGTCCTTTACACTGGCCCGACCCGGCGTCGCTTTCAAAATGCGCGCCACGCAATTAGCGCACAAATATTTCCGCATACACACACACACACAGACACACTTATATTTACATACATATATATACATTCTCCCACATTTTCATTTTTTTGCCAAGCGACCATAAAAATGCTCAACCGAATTGTAGTAATTACAACAATTTGCATAGGCGGCAAGTGGGCTGAGCCGGGCTGGGACAGACGGGGCGTGCCGTGGGTACGGAACGGAACGGAACGAACGGACGGAAATCAAAAAGCGCAAAGCACAAAGTGTGCTACGCATTTTGCAATTTATTCATGCAGAGACGGCCAAGGCGACTGCCATAAGGAGCAAAGCAAGTGCCGCAGCCGAAGATGAAGCAGAAGCAGAAGCAGAAGCAAAAGCAGAAGCAAAAGCAAAAGCGAAAGCAAAAGCGAAGCCAACCCAAATGCCGCTAATTATGTAATATGAAAATGTGACGACAACAGCAACAACAATGGCAGCAACAGCGTAGAAGGACATGAATCCGGGAAAGCGAATAAGGCCGATTTATTTGCATATGGTAAACAGGCAAAGCGGGCGCATAGCTAAATCGGACCCTTTTTTCCAAAAATATACCCTATGCCCGCACATCTAACGAGCTGAGGTGGATTACAGCTGTATATTACTATATATAACAAATATAAAAGAATATGTAAAACTGTTTGTAATCCAGTCTGACTTACCATTTGAGCCAATTGAATGCATTTTGATTCCATTTGTAAGTGAAGACAAACAACATTTTTTTGCCTATACTTATATTAACTCTTACATACCCAATTTTAAACATCTTGTCTTCGAGCAGGGTATTTACTAGTCGCGCATACATGGCTAATTCTTTTTCATCGCTTGCTACTTGCTGCGCCCATTAACAAATTCAATTAACACTTTGCATTATTCAAGCGCATTCACATCTGTCCAAAATTATACCGATTATAATCGGAAAATTCAACAATCCAAAAAAAAGAAGTGAAAAAATCCCCGTATCTTAATTAAGGCAATATGAAGTTTCTTCTACCCTTAGCAGTGAATATTTGTTTGATATAAAAAAGTGTTTCGAGTATTTGAAATATGAAGTGCGTATACGATAATTTTTCCATAAAAATTGAAGCATTCTAGCAAATAGAACTATTAAAATCCATCAGTATAAAATACTTTCCGAGTTATATATAATTCGTAAAAGTCCTGTGACATCTGACACAATTATAATTATAGCAAACATTTTCAGTAAACGTTAATTAGAATCTTAGGTTCCTCATTCACTGCCAATTATAATATAGTGAATATCTACAAGAATTCATAACCTCAATTCTAAATTCCCTTAAGCATGTTATCTGCCTTTATATATGTATATCTATCTGCCTTTCATAATAAACCTAGTTTTTCAACCCAAAACAAAGAAATCTTTTTTAAGTAGTAACAGAAATTTAATATAAATAAAATATATATAATTGCAATTAATCTTATAATAGGCAGGGCATTACTTTTGAAATTATTTCAGCTGCATTTGCAATTGAAACGCAGCTTAAAGTTGATTAAAATAAATAAAAAATGTTGAAAAGAATTCGGAAAAGTGAAAAGCGAATTATTAAAATCCATTTCGCATATTTATGGTAAGACTTTATTTAAAATAAATATACAGTGGCCATACACTGTGTATATATAAATATGTATATATGTATGTATGTTTATAATGTGTATATGCATATATAATATTCATACCCGAATTGTGAAACTGGATTTGTGATATAATTTTTTTATTGTTTCACATTTAATGTGGATTTATCAAAACCTTTACTTTTGTTTTATTTCATTTTTAATTATTTAATTTTTTTATTTTATCGTATTTTGCTGTACACTTTTGAAACTTCATTGACCAGTCCTTTTGAGTGTCCTTTTGCCAGGATGTCAGCAAATTAAAATTTTAATATGTATAAAAGATGCCCTGCCGATCCGATAGCCCCGTCAATAATAAAAGGAAAAAACCAATTACAATTTGTTAACAATTTTTCTTTTTTACTATATCTTTCTCTGTCTCTCCTTCTCTCTTCTTGCTCTTTCTCTTTCAATCAAATTTATTACCAGAGTCCATGCACATTGCAAAAAATTGAAACGAGATGAAAAGCATATGGAAAAACAAATCTGCAATCGGCGCTTATATTCTTAAAATATTATCATGTCTATAGGCTGAGTGTGAGTGTGAGTATGTGTGCGTATGGGTGTGTGTCTGTGTGGGACAATTAAAACCATGCCACAATATTGCAATACACACACACAGAGACAAGAGCTGGCACACAGACACACACACACAGCTATACACGGTTGCCTTGGGGCGGCCTAGTAAATGGTAATCAACGCAAATCCTCCATAGAGCATCGCACACGGATAGGCAATCAGCAGCTGTTGATGGTCCATGGAGAATGCCGTGGCGAATAGTTTCGAGGCCGATATGGCGCACCAGAATATGGCGATGCCGCTCACAATTAGGCCGAGTGTGCCCCTGCAAAGCGCAAAGAGATTTAGATAGAGTGAGTGAGCAAGTCAGCATGTGTGAGTGAGAGAGAGAGAGAGTGCATAAAACAGGGCAAGGCAAGAGGAGCTGGAAAATTGAGAGAAATGCAAAGAGAAACATTGGCGGTAAAATCAATAAACAATGCATATGCATGAGCAGCGGGATAGAGTATACGGCTGACTGAGTGTTTGCCATACAAAAAAGGAAGAAGAAAAAAAAAATTATTCACTGCCTACGAGCGAGTGTGTGTGTATTATGTGAATGAATGAGCAGGGCAAACAAAGACAGCAGGCGCTGTGCAAAGGATGTGCAAACACAGTCCAACTACAAAGTCCTCTACGTGAAGAAAGAGAGAATGCAAATTTATATACACTTTACATCCGAGTTAAGCCCACAAGAGCTTCGAGCAGGCGACTTAGAGCATTCAACTGGCCTAATCACAGTTAAAGGAGATCAGATTGAGGCATTGGTAAACATATTACGTGCATAATGTCCTCAAATTGAATACTATGATCATGTTGATTGAATGATTAGCGATAGATTATGGTAAATCTATCTAACGGAAGATGGTTTAAAGTTTTGAATACCTTTACTAAAGAAAATGTTGTTTGTGATCAAGAAAAAGTTGTTCAATGATTGTAATATTATGAAATAAAACAGTAGAATCCGGTTATAGCGACTCAGCTTAAAACGTTCGTGTACAGCGACGGTCTCTTGATTATTATTATTATTGTATAGATAATTTGAAAACCATTCCATAAAAATGAAATGATTACAAATCTACCTCCTAGCATCCCATTTTCAATGACTTCACTTTATAAAAACATATTATAGCAAGCTCAATAAATTTATAAATAAAAAAGTATATATATTTGTTTACTATTTCTAATCGTTAAATACAAAGTATTGACCTCCTGTTGCTTTCAATATTAGACCTCGCTGTTGATAACTAATTCCTAATCATTTTAATACCCTTATCAACTTGATACAGTTCTAATATTACATTTCAGAGATAGTAATTACTGAATCTAGAGATTAACAAAACTAAAAATCGTTTCAGGCTATTTAAGCTGCATCACAGTACGAAAAATTTAATATGGTATACGAGGTCTGTTCCACAAGTATATTATATAACGATTTTTTGCTTATTAACTTTTTTACAAGAGGCCAATTCTCGATTCTCGATACTCTTTTTAGCAGATCTAATGACGTCGGTTCCTGATAAAAGTTCGACTTTAAGTCTATAGACAGCCCACAGCCCAAGCTGAGCAATAAAAATCCTCAGCAGAGATGGCAGGAATGGGCTGCAGACTTTCTACAATGCTTGCACAAATCAGCAGTAAATACAATTCCATTCCATGAAGACGTCATTGAAAGCTTTCAATTGATTGCTTTTCATTAACAACATTTATTTATACATACATACATATATGTTTGAGCTGAATGCAATTTCTAGGAATAAACTGAATTAATTCATCACTTTGAATACTTTTCTGTTGGCTTGACATTTAACTAAGTTAAAATTGATTTAGCTTTCAACAGCAAAAAACTTTTTCTTTTTTTTTTTTTTTTTTGTATTTCATTTTTTAGCATAATCTGGCCAACAAACTGTACAATCCGCATAACAATCTATAAATAATTGTCATGCGTTCAAAAGGCTGAGCCTGACTGTGTGTGTGTGTGTGTGGGTGTGGGCTAGTGTGTGTGGGAAAGGTCTGACTGTTCCATTTAATGGATTGCCTTTTTTTTCGCTTCATTTTCAGCTTTTTTTTTTTTTTTTTTTGTATACTCTTTTTATTTTTTGCGGTCGCCTTGTCGCCTGGGGTCACCTGGTCCCAAAAAAACTGTCGCAATTCGCTTTCATCTGACCATGTGTATATACATACATAACCTTAGTCACCTTAAACCCCGACCTATATATTGTTCTGTTTAAGTTTCTCTCTATATCTCTCCCCTTTGCTCTCTCTCTCTCTTTCTTTGTAGTTCTCTGGACAATTCTCGTTGTTGTCGATTGTGCCAAGTGATTTTTGGCTTAGCTTAAATGGATAGCACGCAGGGCCTGGCAACTAAAACCAATCAAACCAATGCGCGCTGTAAGAGCAGCTACACACACATACACCCTCACACACACACACACCCTCACCCTTGGCAAACACGCCCAACTGCTGTCTGTGTAATTTTTGTGCACTTTTGCATCACCAAACAAACTCAATTAAAAAGTCTGTCTAAAAAAATCGCAAAAATATTTACTGTAAACTTGCCGGACGTTGCGCGCGAGTAGAAGTATATGAACATCAACAAGCACGCACACACCCACGCACACACCCAAGCCCACTCACACACACACATGCACACAAAGTGCAGGCGTTTAAAACCAACAAATAAAAAATGCAAGCAAACGGCCAACCAAATGGCAATTGGGCAGCTACAGCAAAAAGCTCACAAAAAAAAAAAAAAAAAACAAAACAAAAAAGAAGCCAAAAGAGAGAAAAAATTAAAGCCCACTTCGTAAGTGGGCGGGGGCGAGAGGAGCAGCTGGGACTGGAGCTGGCAGACAAAACGCTGCTGGTGTCGAGTAAGCTTGGGCAATAGTTGTTTTTCGTGCGAACGCCAATTGAAATTATGACGTGCCAGAGTTCTGGCCAAAGGCTCGATAGGATTGTTGGCTGCTGGTTTGGCTGGGGGCGTGGCAGAGGGGCTGGAGTTGGGTTGGGGCACCGAGGGTTGCGCTGCTGCATACGGGCTTTGGCACAGCACACGCAACATTTGCGTGATGCTCTTCACAGGGCCAAAAAAAGGGAGAAAAAAGAAAGCAGACTACTGGAGTTTGTCTGGAAAGTGACTAACTAGCAAATACCCTGTATATAGTAAGAGAATGCAATGAGAATCAG